AGCTGACAACGCTGTAATACTGACCTACAAATTGATTGGCTAGTTTAAATCTGCACATTCCCGTTAATACGAGAGAATATTTTAAGTTTACTGATATTTGAACCATTCTGTATTGTATGCTCTCTACCAATCTACACTGTTATTCCCACGCTCACAATCTATGTTTAAGTTTTTGCATGGTTATGTTCTTTCAGTTGGAGATAAAAATAAACATTTATTATTTACATTAGGCGATAAAGTTTTACAGGCCTGTATCAAAGAATACAGACTAAGTAATATTTATTTATAGGCTAGGTGTTGATTTAATTGATCCAGCAATCAAGTTTATAGTTACGTCCATTAATTAACACATTCATCCTTCTGCCTATCCATCTAGCTGCCCCAGGGATTGCTGAGGAAGAGCGTGTACCTTGTTGTAATTCTGTTTTGTACTCTGCAATTTACCCTTGTGATGTTCTCATTCCGCGCTTGCATAAGACTTTCTACATTGCTGTGACCGCAATATGGCATAACAATTTCAGTCTATATAAAATTGTTTTAAATTAAGTATTAAATTTAGTGTTGTGTGTGCCTACCATAATAAAGTTTTGAATTTGTCTCGGTAACTGCTGATAGGCTTACGTGATCATCATAAAATTCACACATTTTAAGGTAGTAAAATATATTTAAACAAATGAAGCCTTTTACTTTTGCGCTAAAGAAATTTAAGAAGATAGTTTCAGTGTTCGAGTATGGTCAACAATGGGCTTAACTTTGTAAGTTCACAGAGGTTTCTACCATCAAATATGAAATGATACAAAAATTTTAGTGTAGGTTAATATATTATGGTCAGTAGCATATGCAAAATACAGAACAGTCCTCTCGTCAGAGAGGGCGCCGCACAATACAGGACCGTAACTGTGGAACGGTAATAATTAATATCGATGGGGCTCAACATGATGACTTACTGACTGACTGACCGTCAGTCGCAATGTGACCTTTACTTTGAGACCAGTAGTTCGTATCCGACAAGAGACCAGTAGAATTCATATCCGACGAGAGCTAAGAACAGGTGAGCTCCGAGCAGAGCAGAAGACGCTCCACCGAGAATAGCGTGCGAGAGTGTATAACACTGAAGACGAAAGATCCGAAGACGTTATAAGTGTGAATAATTGTATTTGTGAGTGTAAATAAATATTAGTCCAAATCCGAGACCCACAAAATTTTTTGTCGCGTTACCTAAGAAACGCGCGACATTATATAAAGTTGATAGCTAATTGGATTGCTCATGTTTTACGCAGAAACTGCCTTCTAAAAGAAGTTATTGAAGGAAAGATAGAGGGGCGGATAGAAGTGACAAGAAGACGAGGAAGAAGACGTAAGAAGATGCTGGATGACCTTGGGGACAGAAGAGGATATTTTCATTTGAAGGAGGAAGCTCTAGATCGCATTAAGTGGAGGAATTGTTTTGGAACAGACTGTGGACCTGTCGTCTTGACAGATTACTGATGATGATGATGCTGTTATGGCATATATTTCTTTATTTGAGAACCTGAATTCCTTGACGATCCTATGGTACAGCTACGACATAGAAATGAGGTAAAGAAATTATCCGTTTTGAATTTCAATGACCCGAAGGGGGGGAGGGGTTGAATACTCGTATATGAAAGTGTGTTTGTATCCAACTTTTAATTCAACTACTTATATTACATCGATTTCGTGCATAAAGACAGAGCAACTGTCCGCACCGAACACCTAAATCAATATACTTAACGTTGAATTTCAGGTTATTCTTTCAGCCCAGTCAGCCCCATTATAATGTACTTTTTTGCTGACTGCTTCTTCTTCCAGCAGTTAGCCAGCTCCCTCACCCCCAGTCACCACTTTGCATCGCAATTTCATTTCCTGTTCTATTCCGCTGTCTCTCTCGTACGTACTTGAAGAGCAATCAATTTGTAACTACAATAACAAAATACAGACAACACAACTTGCATGTAGTTAAAATAGAATGTTAATTAACGAGAGATTTATCTTGCCCAACGAAACTTCGTTCCATGAAAATGGAATCAGTGAGAATCATATGGACAGGGATTTTCAAACTGTTAGTGTCAGTATGTCCATTTAACGTAGTAATCTTTCGTCTGACTGACGTACTGAAGGAAAACTCAGTTTTCTGTAGTCCGCAAGCGAACTATACCGACCGAGCGATGCCGCTTGTCGGCGAATTTAGTGCCAACTTCTGCGGATAGAGGATGTCGCGTGGGCAGCGTATCGAATCCCCACGGCAGTTAATTTCGGTTTTCTAGACCCGATATAATATTTCTAAGAAACATTAATTTATTCTTCATCAAGTAAATTTGTCTTTATGCTTAAATAAATAAACACTACTCCATGAAGATGTATGGGGGAGTCGATGTATAGTTCCACATTTTCTTGACCTCGGCACTAGCTGGAGGTGAATGGTCAGATCCATGCCCCTGCCGCTTTTACCCCAGGGGAAAGAGCTCTGGTACCCATTGGATAGCAGGTTAGATGGACCCCTCAGCTTGTCTGGACGACTTGGAGAAGACCCTACAGGTACTCGAACTCAGACCGATCCGCCTCCAGTCCGTAGCCCGTCGCTATACCGACTACGCTACCCTGGCCCCACATTCTTCATCAAGTAGTGCATGTTTTTTCAAAAGGAAATGTGTAAACTTCGAAAAGAAATGGCAAGACTGTATTATTTTATGCGCTTAATTACGTAAAGAGATCGATATGAAAGTACCGAAGAGAGATGAATTGACAGGAGGTTGGAGAAAACTGCATAATGACGAACTTCATAACTTGTACTCTTCTCCAAGTATAATTAGAATGGACAAGTCAAGGAGGATCAGGTGGGCAGGTCATGTAACACGAATGGGGGAGAAGAGGAATGCATATAGGATATTGGTGGGAAAACCAGAAGGAAAGACACCACTGGGAAGACAAAAGCATAGGTGGGTGGACAATAATAAAATGGATCTTAGAGAGATAGGATGGGATGGTATTGATTGGATAGATCTAGCTCAGGATAGGGACCAGTGGAGGGCTCTTGTGAGCACGGTAATGAACTTTCGGGTTCCATAAAATGCTGGGAAATTCTTGAGAAGCTGCAAATTTGGCCGCTCCTCAAGAAGGGCTGAACTCAACAGGTAATTTTTATTGCTAGTGGGGTGGGACTAAGTCCCTTGTACTGCGGCCACTTCTGGCCTATTGTACCAGCCCCAGATGATAGGTGAGGGTGATTCTGGAGCAATTGGTGGAATGAAGATTGGCAGGGTAAACCGAAGTACTTGGAGAAAACCTGCCCCAGCGCCACTTTGTCCACCACAAATCCCACTTGACCAGACCCGGGATCGAACCCGGGCCGCCTTTGTGGGAAGCCAGCGACTAACCGCTTGAGCTATGGTGCGGCCTCAGCTCCATAAGTAAGTAAGTGAGATCGACATAAATGTAAGCAGTCAAATTTACCCTTAAACTTCTACGAAATATCTTCAGCTTTTTCTCCATTTACGGGAAGTTGTACTGTACGTGCCCCCACGCAATGACCAAACAAACAGGAGACAGCTGTCAACTGCACAGTTCTTTTTTTTTTTTTGTCTATAGGGCGTGCTCCTTGTACATCGAGTATTGTTGCTGCTGTAACTCTCGTGGGCGCTGCGGTGGTCGCCATGATTTGCAGGAAGAACAAACGATTGTGATATCTCACAGCTTGAGACTTCTGTTTCGTTATGTTAATTTTCATAATGCCTGTTGCTAACATGCTACCAACAGAGCCTCTGACAGTTCACGATTTTGCTTTATTTGTATCTGGTGACAGAGCAGGCTTGGACTGTATAGGGTTCTCACTTTATATAGCCTCAGATTATACGGCCTCTCTGGTCTAGTGGTCAGAGTTCTTGCCTACAGATCCAAATGTACCGTGGTGGATTCCCAGCGCTACCAGATTTTCTGAGAAGTAGTGGGTCTGGAACGGGGTACATTCAGCCTCGTGAGGATAATTGAGGAGCTATTTCAAGGAAACAGATGCTCCGGTCTAGAAAACCGAAATTAACGGCCGTTGGGATTCGTTGCGCTGACCACGCGACACCCTCTATCCGCTAAATTTGGCACTAACTTCGCCGACAAGCGGCTGTCGCTCGGTCGATATAGTTCGCTTGCGGACTACATGCCAAAGGGTTTATTTGTTTTGTTATTTTGAGGTTGCCTGCACGAGATATGATGTACCCTGGTCCGGAGAGCGGACGGACTGAAGCCTGTGCATGGTAGGCAATGGAACTGAGGCTCTGACAACACCGGTCCCTTAACGCCCCGTTACGCTCGGAATGCAGCCGCTGTGAGCTCCATTACAAGTTGCTGAGGGTCGCTTGAAGGAACATCTGTCGTCCTGAGGGACGACAAGACCTGCCCTCGCTATAGGGGTCCTGTGTTCAATGTTAGGAAGAGATGTAACACAATTGCTCTGGGAGAAATATTGATATAAAATAATACATTATGTGCCCTAAGTAACCCCTTGATAATGAGTTGGAAAGAAGAGAATTCGTGGTATATTTTGAAAACATGGGAGCTTGGGGTTATAACTCCATGCATTTATAATATCAGCAGTAGATGCATGTGCATTGTTAGTGTCACGTCAAAATTCCTTGACCCCTTGGAGATCAACCGGAACATTCGCTAGGAGACTGGATAAACACTATAGCCAGTCTGAACGCAGTGGTAAATAAAATGTCATTACTCCTCCAGGGAACCTGAGCCCCATCTGTGTAACTCATAGTCACTATCGTTACTAAACTATTATATTTGTAGTTACAATTATCATATTAAAGAATATGTTTTCTAAAGTGAAATCTATACCAGTGGGTATGCTCTGGTCCTGGAAAACTTTACGTTACAAATCAACTCCTGAATCATAGGCCTCTGTCGCCCCTCACATCATAAGGTTTGTTTGACATAAGCTTCATGAAGCCCTTATTGTCCGGGCGGTCCCACCACTAACTCACCGCGACCCGCGACTCCTTGAGGTCCAGTCTCATTGCGAGCGCCTCCCTCATGAACACATCCGGGTAGTGGCTCGCCAGGAAGGCCCGCTCCAGTTCCTCCAACTGCCAGCTGTTGAAGTTGGTCCGCGACCGACGGCGCTTCCCTCCGCCGCCGCCACCGGTGCTGCCCCCTAGATCGGCATCTCCGTCCCCGTCTGTTTGGAGAAAACATAACATTTTGATGAGGAACAGTAATTGGGAACAAATGGTCCAGCACATCTTCAGAAACACGGTTTTGACGAAGGAATAATTATGGCATAATTTTGATATCTGTATGGGGGAAATGTCGTTACCCAATTTCAGTTTTCCACGCGTAACGGCAGAACATTGGCTTGTATTGTGGAGGTATTTCCGTGTCTGTGATATCTCGAAATATATCACAGTGCATCTATATTTGGTTATTTATCCATAATGTATGCACCCTACTCGAGGCATGGACGTTTGTCTACGTTTATTCTGTCTTAGTGTTGTCCTGTGCAGGTATCGGCCTTGCGACGGGCTGATCCCCAGTCCAAGGAGTCCTTCCGATTGTCTACAAGATTAGGAAACGGAAGTGAAACGGAGTGCTTCACGGATGCTCTATGCTCCAAGTGGGAGCAACAGGAATGTGAATAGATGAATGAATATATGCTAATGTATTTGGGTCTGTGTGTGTTTAATGCATGCCGGTCACGGTAGCCGAGCGGTCTAAGGCATGTACTGTCTTCGCTCGCTTGGAAACCGGGATCGTGGGTTCGAATCCCACTGAGGGCATGGATGTTAATTTGTGTAAGTCTTTTGTAAGTCTCAGAAACACACACTCCGTACACAGGCTCATAATTCATTTTCGTTTGGTCAGGTGTGATTTGAATTGATTCCTGAATCCATGCAAATGTCTATTTGCAGAGAGAATGCGATGTTTTATTTCTGTACTTACGTCACTGTTGCAGTTGAACTCTGGTTCCAGATAGGTAACTCTACGCACGATTTCGAATTTTTAACGGGAGTTGCATAATTGCCCTGCGTTGTCTCTTTAGAGTCTACTTGTAGTCCGGCCAGTTGTTGAAGTACCCAGCTAGCAGTGGTAGGTTATAGCGTCCAATTGTTGTTATGAGCAGTTCATTACGGACAGCTGGACATAAGAACTATGAAACAACTGTTCGGCACGGGAAGAGTACGCGAGGCATAGACCAATGAAGAATGGAATTTGTTGTTTTACTTTCTGATGTGGACTCCGTGAATTTTTCAAAAAAAGACGAAAATAATCACAAATTATGTCAGTCTGCGTATGGGATAGTGGAACCTATCACTTACACAATCATCACTCATGACAGAACACCAACATAAGCTCGTCCGATACAATCAGAAGAGGGAAGGAAAACAACCAGAAAGAATTACACCACCAGAAACACAAAATTCAACAAAGAAAAACAACAGGATGACCCGCGTGACAGCGTAACGAATGCATGAAATTTATGTGTGAATACCCACATCTACAACTACAAAATACCAGAACAACCCATGGAAAGACCAAACCTTTGATTATGAAACGACTTTCGGATTCAATAAATTTTAACAGTCTAACAACTGCGCCATAGCAGTTAGTCGCTGGCTTCCCACCGCCGCGGCCCGGGTTCGAGCCCAGATCTGGTCAAGTGGGATTTGTGGTGGGAAAAGTGGCGCTGGGGCAGGTTTTATCCGAGTACTTCGGTTTCACCTGCTAATCTTCATTCCACCAATTGCTCCACGATCACCCTCACCTATCATCTGGGGCTGGTACAATAGGCCAGAAGTGGCCGCAGTACAAGGGACTTAGCCCCACCCCACTGGCAATAAAAGAGAACAGTCTAACAATGTTCGAATTTAGTATTTTAACAGGAACGTATATCGTAGGATTATATGCCAACGTAGCAAACCGACAACACAAAATATACACACTGCAAACATTGAAAAATATAAAGGATAAGCAGTGCAGTCAACAGCGAATGTGCCCACCTGATGATGGTCGAATTGTCGAAACATTCAATACATAATTAACCTACATTATATTTCTACACAAGTTGTGAAGATGAAAAGAAATGCAGTTTGACGTTCTAATTAATTTATTATCGATGAAACTGTAATATGTTGCCATATGGCCCGTTAGAATAAGCAACTGGCTGCATGGATCAAAACCCTCCTAGGAAAGTTAAGATTTTTCTACCCTGAAGATGGAGACGATACGCTCTCCGAAACGTCGGTTCACACAAGATCTATATGGCGCCACATCCCAGAAGACGACATTCTTCAAAGATAAGATTACTTCGGCTAGTAAACAAATGTTTTGGAACTTGAAATCCATTTCCGTATTCAGAAGGGTATTCCCTTTATACATAATTATTACAGACAATCTTACCGGCCTAAAATCTTATGTATAAAGCAGTAATCTCTTAGCTGATCAGAAAATTATTCAACTTTTGTGGGAACCGAAGGATCATTGCCGTGTTCACAAAAGACCGCCGCTGGTTCCCTTCCTGACTCCACACAATTATTTCCTATTCTTTTGCGATCCATTTTAATAACATCCTCCAGTCTAAGTCTGTGTTTATCCAGTGTTCGGAGGAAAATTTTCCTGCCTTCCTCATATCCCCCATATGTAGTTCATATCCCGTCAGTCGCTTCCTCCTTAATCTATAGGTGTCGGTATAGCGACTGGCTACGGGCTAGATGACCGAGTGGTCGGAGTTCGAGTCCCAGCAGGAGCTCAAGTTTTCTCTTCTCTACGTTTTCCAGACCGATTTTGGGACCCATCTAGGCTCCTACCCAATGAGTACATCCACCCCCCACATGTCTTCATGGCATTGTGCTTAATTAGTTAAGCTCAGAGATAATTTTGTATTTTTTTAAATTATATTCGACGAACTTTAGAAACTGTTGTCACGTATTCGGGGTTTGCGTGACTAATAACAATGGGTTCTGAATCTGATGACTGGAATTATTGGAACTTCTTTACGATTTCAGTCAATAATAAAAAGCTCACTCATTGAACTACTTCTGAACGAAGTCTGGGTGACGAATCTCTCTGAAGAATCTCTCACTAATCTCGGACTGATCTCAGACTCACTCTCGAATTCACAAATGCACAGCCTTTTATAAGTTCCACGCGGCCGGAATAGAAGTCACCATGTCGAACGGTTTCTCTGTTGTCAGGGGGATGACTTTGTTTAGCTATTTGTTACCTGGCAACGGCTCATTCGCTGCTATTCGTTGTAACGGAAACTAGTCTTTCTTAATGATCGATGCCGCGGAAAGATAATTACCGAGCCGTTGTCTAGCAATTGACGTTTGCTCCGTTTCCATCATTTCGGCTTTCAGCCGTCATGTAACATTATGAAGAACTTCATCATGCTATTGACTCGAGCCTCCAGTTTTTCTCTCTTACAGGTCCAGGTGGTCTCCTAGGCATCTTATTCTACAGACTTTCAACATTCTGTTCTCTCAGGGCGCGAGACCACGCTTGACACGTATCCAGAACAACAGATATGCCTATATTAGCATTCTTAGATATTCCATATGATTGTAAATCGGAGAAATACGTACGGAGATAAAGTTACAGCCTTTATATTGTATTTAAGCACCCTGATGCACTAATATATCTCTTATACACAATAAAATTCAGTCAATAATACAACTATTTCTATTATTCCTTCCCTCCACAATATATTTCGTCCCCAAACGGCCATTATCAGGTGTGTCACCTGTATGTGAGACTGTATAGAATGTCCAATTTTTCACATCATACATAACTGCGATATTTCACGATTTAAAACATTGGATGTTATAACCGATACTTAATTGACATTAGTTAAAATGCCATACGCTGAAATTTACTTTGAATTTATTATTTTTTTTTTTTGCTGAAAGTTTGGAAATTCTTTTCTTTACATCTGCACTAGGAGCGCTGTCCACTTGTCCAAACAATATATACATAAAGAAAGCAGTCTTCTGGAATTTGGCTCAGTGTATATGTGGTGTTAACCGACGTTTCCAGTCTGCTTTTACCGGTTCTCACGGTCTCTTCGCTTGCAGATTTCTTATATTTTTTCTTCTACCCTGAAGATGGAGGCGATACGTTCCTCCGAAACGTCGGTTAACACCACATATACACGGTGCCAAATCCTAGAAGACCGCTTTCTTCATAGTCACCGCCGTGAAAGCCTCAAATCTTACACAATATATACATATACCTCACTTTGGATTTTTATACTTCAGCGTCCTGGGTGTTCGCGTGTTGTTTTCGGTGCGTAAATCCGTTGTTGTTGTTGTTACGTTTTTCCCCTTGCTTATATGTCGTTCTCTCCATCTGAGTATGATGTTGTCTTCCCTTGTGTGTGGAGATGTGAAATATCTCAGTTGTATCTGATGTGTGAAGTGGACATGCTGTATAGTGGAACAACTTTGACATAGCTGAGACACCTGATGATGGCCGTTTGGGGTCGAAACATGTTTCGAAAGGAAGGAGTGATAGAAATAGTTGCATTGTTAACGGAATTAAACTGCGTATAAAAGTTTCTTTCTCTATCTGATGCAAGTTATTTAACGATGCTTTATCAAACTGTAAATTTACTGAACTTCGACTAGCGTACTCCACTATCACACCAGTAAAGCACATTTGGAGGTCTACCAATTATCTCTATCATTTACCGTATTTACACATGTATAGGCCGCACATTTTTTGCCAAAAATTCAAGAGAAAAACTGGGGTGCGGCTTATATTCGACATATTCGAAATCACACTTCATTTAAAACAAATTATATTCGTAATTAGTAATACAGGCTGTTCTACTCCTGAAATAATATTCCAAGAAAATTATTTTTTCTATAATTTCTGTCTGAAAATTGTGCTGCAGCCTATACATGCACGCGGCCTATACATGCGTAAATACGGTATACAGAACAATAATTATCTACACTCATTGGCAGTCTCACGTTCTTTCGTAATCATGAGCAACATGTATCGTAATATAAATTTATTTACGATATGTATGCATTGTATATATTAGTTTTAAGTTAAATTAATTACAGATCGATATGAATGTGTGCAAAATATACTAGTAAAGAGGTTGATTTCTATTTTATATTGAAAAGCTACTGTGTTGAAAATGGCTTCCGATAAATTCCATCCTTGCCATGACAA